ACTCTATTACCTAGTAACGAGTATTTGGCAAAGATTCTGGCCAGGAACACCACAAAAACATCACAGCAATGAGACAATCCTCGATGATCCAACTACAGCTGGATAAGGTGCTCGAACCTTAGTGTTGTCGTACACATTCTACTGTGCACAGAGTGCTGAAAAACGACCAATGTGTGTGGACTTGATGGTGTGATGAAATAAGATAACATTGTTTTGGAGGACATTTGTTACAGTAATTTTTTCGGAATCGTGCTCAAGTTGATAGGTGCAAAGTTTTTGAGATCAATATTTTCCTGTGTCCAATAAGTGTAAACTTTGTTCTGTATAAAAAAAGTAGATTTTCATTTAATGTGACCGTTTTGTTGTCTGTAATAATTAAAAAGAACGGTATTTAATATGTATATTTTCACAGTAACTGTACGTAATCCTACCTCTATCTGTTACTACAAATCCTGAGGGAAACTGAGGAGCTTTTTTTTCTGTTTTTTTCACAGCCAGAAAAAAGCAGTCAGACTGTTGATTCCATAGTTGACATGCACATAACGGAAAGACCTCTATAGATATAATAACTGGCTATCCATCTACAATATCGATAACCTAGCTAAATTTTTCAGCATCGAGATCCATATATTAAACTAAGACTATGCGAAAACTTTGACTCACGAAGTCTTCTCAACGATCTACCAATAATGATAAGTAACCCCAGTAAGAAAACCCTTTTGGGTGGGACAAAATTCAGGGTAACATTATACAATAGGCGGGATAAAAACAGATGGATGATCTCGCTAGAATGATCCGAGTATAACCCTGACATAACAATGGAAGGTAGATTCAAGATCAGAATGTGGAGTAACATGCGTTTCTCCAGTTATTCCGCTACAGAGAACCACAGTGAAATCCGGAACGTATGTCGTTTTATTGCATTGTAGAAAAATCTAAGCCAAACGCGATGCCGGATAAGCTGAACCACTAAACGAGGACATACAAGATAATCGGATCAGATGACAAGGCAACATATGAAATATGCTCCGTCAAAATAAATTTGAATGAGGCACAATTCTAATTAATTTGGCTTTATTATTAGAAAGTGACTAAACCTGTGAGCAAGTCTAAAGTTAGTGATGTCTTCCACTCTGCCGTCGTGAAGCAACGCGTATATGTCAATGTCACTCGGCGAATATTCTGTTTCACTGTTCTTCCGTAACTTTCAAGAGTTAAATGAAACCGCCCAATCTCGGATTTTCAGATAAATTGACAGAAAAGATAAGATCTACAAACCGTCAGCATTGCATCTTATGTCGTCAGACGTATTGAAAAGACAGATAGACAACTAAAATCAGTAGAATGATTCCAAAAATGAATCTTTCATTTCGCATACGGATTTAGAATAAAGGTCTTGTATCGCAAATGTTCAACAAGGTTGAGATAGTTAAAATAAATTGCTGTTTCCAGAAAAGAGAAGTACGCACATAACTTCTAGACTTGCAAAAATATTCAATACCGCACCATACATCGTTCTTCTGGCCAATATATCGGGAATAGGTGTTAAAACTTCTTCACCTAAATAACAAACTCCAATAGGCGGAGTTTAGGACCTAAGGTTACGGCCGTATTATGCATTTGGAGGATTACGTGGAATCATTTTAAATAGACTGGTCTTTAAATAAATCCAGAACAAATATTAATGCAGAGCAATATGAATTCATAACATTTCAGCTGCTTACGAGCAAATATGTATTAGAATTTCAACGTTGAGATAATAAATAGTGTGGAACAATTGACATCAGTGAATGGAAAGGATTGGAATGACAAAAGGTTATTAATGACAATAGCATGAGACTGGTCTTTCTTACATCAATCAACGACCCACCAGAAAATCTCATGTCCTTACCCGTTCAGCAAACATAAGACATTGAGTTCCATTAAACATAAAATTGCTAAGCGGTATCTAAAATCAAGTGATAATGTGGAAACGGTTTGAAAGTCAAATTTCTGAAGTATCCAGTGATATTCTTGCTGTATCCAAGGAAGGAACGACCTCTTTTGCAATGCGTCCTTCGACTCACTGGAATGTTGATGATGAGTGATATAGGATCTTAACTACCAGTAGTCTTGGACACTAGCTGTAACTGTCAGGGACATGCACACGAAGCAGACAGCGTGCTTTATTGGTTTCGAAGGTACTCAAGTAGGTCGACTAACCAAATCTCCATACTGTTTAACACCAACATATTCACAGATCTTGAAATCCAACATACTGTTGTGCCTCTTTTAATCAAAGGAGAGTCGAATGAATTTAAACAACTACAGAGACATACGACAGGATATGTTAGGGTTGTAGGCTCAATGAAAAGCCACTGATCACCTAGCCTATGCATGGCAACAAATCGCATGAAATTAGACCCCTATAGCTGATATTATTGATGCTATGTCACGGTATAACTAAAAGTGATTTTAATATAGCGTAAAAAGTATTAAGTGGTTCACTCCACAAAGAAGAAATAATTCTCCTTGAAGCTTACTCAAGTCATCCACTGAGAGGTTCTCGCGAAGTCACACATTGAAGTACTACCACTTAGAACGGACCGTAGCCTCAAAGACTACAGGTATTAACTACTTGAAATGACCTCCCATAAAACACTCTCAGTAGATAGTTTTTAAATGAAGATGCATAGGCGGTAACTTTTAAGTATAAATTCCGAAATACGTCCCAAGCCGTTTCGATCGATGACTCTGGGTCTATTTTCCAATCTACTGATGATGCTGATTTCATGATGTCTGGTATGTTTGCTTTCCAGACGTTAGGTGTGGATTGAGCTGAAGCGTGCTCGTGATCGACAGTTATATGGAAGTCAAAGCTTAAAACTGCATGATCACTTTTGCCTAGGGGTGGCATGTAATCCAGGTTTGCAACATCATCCTCATAATGAGTCAATATAAGATCTAGTAAGGATGATGCAGAACCCGGGTCGTACCTAGTTGCTTCCTTCACGTGTTGCACTAGGGCACATGTGATTACTGCATCAACTAGTTCCAGTTCGAAGGAGTTTGCTGACGATTCAGTCCGCAGATTTCCCCAGTCCACCATGGGTGCATTGAAGTCTCCTAGGATTAGACATCGATCACTTCGTGATAAAGTGTGGAGACTGCTTAGTAGGACCTCGTTTACCTCACAGCTTGGACTGCGATAGATCAAACTAAGCAGCAACTATTGTCCCCTGCATTTCAGGCGGCAGCAAACTAATTCATACGTCCCACTCTCATGGGATACACTGTCGATAATGGTGAATGGAATAGCATTCCTAATGAATAGAGCTACTCCCCCTCCTTTACGCGTTTGTGTTCTATCGGCCCTTACTAATGTAAAACCCTCGAAATCAAGTTCCCTACTATCTATAGACGGCGTCAGCCATGTTTCTGTGACTGCGATTATGTCTGGCCTAGTTGAGTCAATCTGTACATCTAGTTCCGGTAGCTTATTGAGTAAGCTCCGGGCATTTGTATAACAGATCCGCGGTTGAGTCATCTTTCGCGCTGGCAACCGATCGAGCCTTGCGATTTTGGGTTCCGGAAGTTCCCTTCTGGGTACCATTTTTGATACCAGGGACAGAAGAGACTTTTTTCTCGAGTTTCTGGTTGTGACAGACCTCTTTGGAGGATGTCCTTCCTCTTTTGGACAGTGTGGGTCAGCATTTCTTGGACTCACTTAAGCCTGCCTTATGTCAATCTGCGTGTCAACAGATTGAGTTCTGACCGATGTGTCACGACCGCGCTTGCCGAGACACTTTTTTGCGGCATTGACCATTGAGATGGCCTCGGTTAACAGGCTATTTGCATCCAAACAGCACTGTTGACACAGCCATATCCATTCATTCTTACTGAACCGCTTAAAAGCCACAGGCGTTAGATTCGTGCAAACTTCGTGGTACCAACCTTTGCGCTCATCGCACTGCATGCCGCTGTCAACGGGATATCGACATCCTGGGCGGTGGCAAATGCTTTTGTTGCACCTTCAAGTCATTTTAGGATGACAAAGTGAGTTTTGAGTAAAAGTAGAAAAAACTATAAATAGGCCTTCTTGAATCCCTGGACTACCTGTTTCTGCCATCTAAATATTTCAACAAGTTATCTGGGCGCGTTTATGAAAAGCTTACGTCCTTTCGCTGCAAAAATTACAAACAAGCACAATAAGAGACATCGTGGTGTTTGGCAATATGCTTTAGAGAGAATAAACATTAATCAAATGTCGATTCCCGAGCTGCTTAACTCTAACTGTCGATCTCTAATTAACAAGGTGGACTATCTCCAATTTCTGCTAAGTCAAAACATGTATCGTAATTGTGGTGTCATCACAATTCAAGAATCTTGGTTGACTGACTCACAGGATGATTGCCTAGTATAATTACGTGATCTTAATATCTATCGTCAGGATCGATCAAACAATAAAAAAACCTGTGGTGGCGCAGTAGCTACTGGTTTTTATTGTTTTGTGTTTTTTTGGTAAAAAAAACTTGTTGAAATAACTCGTGCTGAGAATTCTATATTGTACCAGATTATAATATTGAATAAAGCCATTAATTATTATTATTATTAAGTACTAACAGATACAATAGAAGAACAAGGTACTCTGGAGTACCGACGATAAAACAATTTAGGATACCAAAAATGATACTCTAGTCAAATACTTTAACTGAAAGAAATTCAATCAAAATATAAACAGTAGTCTTGATACGTTAATAGCGATCAAAACAATAGAATTTTACTCAACGAGGAAAAATACCACTGTCCTTTTTAAATAGCGCGCAACCCTTTTGAGCAGTTGATTGACAATAGCTCATCACATATATATTGATAAATTAACAGACACCTGAAACCATACCGAAACAACAATCAGCGAGCTGAATGAATTCAATCTGTTTATATAATTTTTCGACAAACATATTGATTATTGGAACGTATGACTTTTGCTTAGCATTTACTAACCACTTTTGTTTCTAGCTATGTGTTACCGCTTCCTGTTGTTGATCGTGTTTCACTTACATTCATTATTATGCACTAAAAGTGCTTCAGAACTGTGGATACGTTTTCGTCAAAATCCAAGTTTTGTTAAGCCATTTAACTTCAAGTCTTCCGTCTATTTCAGTTCGACAGATAATGAGAATACTTTGAAAAAATACAGTAGAGGTTTCCCTAGAGGTATCTGGGGAACAGCCGCTTTCCCTGATATTATTAGAGGATTATCTGACAATGACACAGGTGCGACTCATATAGTTTTATTGATAATCGTTTCTGTAGAACAATTTTGTGTTTACTTATTCACATCAAAAATAAGTTAGATTATCTTCATTCTCTCACCGGTCACTTTTTCATGAAAGAGGTTTTGCTTTGTTGTCTAAACTGCAGTAAAAACATGATTTTACTTAACTGGACCTTTAAAACGAAATTTGTTTGTTTTTCAATTTTTCATCTGGCTAATATTAGTATGTATTAAACTTCATGTATAAATATTATGACAGTTAACTAAATTTGGGTAGTTCCAAATGATTTTCATAGGAATTCACTAATAAAACACAGTTCAAAGGCGATCTTTAGTAACAAAAATTTATTTACATACTCTTTAGTTACAAATTAGAAACTTAGAGGACATATTTAGTTTGATTTATTAGCTCTTGAAACAATATCTGTCTGCGGGTTTTTGAGTCATATGTCTTTTCACTGTAGTGTTCAGGTTTATATTTGTATCACTATAGATAAATTTCTATGTGCATCCTCAATGATAATACTGATGAGATGACTGAAACAAATCCATTATTAATGTCTGTTGAGCGGGATGGAGTATCCGTTTTTAACTTTTCTATGAGACTCAAAAGCAAAAATTAAATACATATTTTCATTAAAGATTACGACAAGACTTACTTCCTTTGTATATACAATCAGCTATTGGAGAGTGTTGATCAACGACAAACTCGTTGGATCTAAACTTCTGACTGGCCACGTCGTACGGTCATCACTAAATTAATGACAAGGGCTTCTGGCGATTCAAGGAATTAGATACGAGAAAATCTAGGCATATTTGGATGAACTTTCTAAAGAAACTCATAGTCAACTTGTGAGTCAGTGGAATGATTAAAATGAATTAAATATTCAATAACGGAATTTCTAATTACTTTTCTTTTACCATTATAGAACCAAACAACGACATATATTCATGTCCGAGTTAAAAGTAAGAGATGAATACGACCTGCCTACCCTGATCTACAAGCGCAAGTAAACTTGTAGGTGCACATAGAGGCAACCAGACGAAGAAGATTGCCCTCTCGAATGTAGAAAACACATTTTCACAAGTGAATGTTAGTCGTAGCTTTACTACGTAGAATGTTTCTTTTATAATACAATGTTAAGTTAACAATATCTGAGCACGCACAAATTTTTACCACTATTATTCACACTTCCTAATCAAGTATTATAACCTTTCTATCATACAATCGTGTCTTTTAGATTTTCGTATATCCTCACGGAATTAATGCTTGGAACTTCATATGTATATGAAAATAGGCATCACAAACCTATTTTGTAAATATTTTCTGATATTACTTGCATTTATTTTGTTATGCCTATCTTCGCAGTATATACACAGTGGTACAGATTAGCAAAAAAATTATAAAAGAAAGATCCCTATTCCTAGCTTCCTGTTTTTATTACTTAAGCGATATTTACATGTCTACTGGAAAAAAACTGTATCCCTAAAGCTAGGCAGATGCAAAAGCTTAAATTGTTCATACCACGAAAAAGCTTAGGTTTGAGAAAAAATTGAAATAAGACAAGGCGAAATCCTGTGTTTTGTTATCGGTTTGGCTACCACTTCAGATTCTTTTGAATATACTGAAATTAAAGTGGGTGACACCTTCTGCATTACTGCACATATTTTAAAAGTAAACGTTAAATCAGTCATATCATTTTATGATAAACGTAAAATTGACAATTGTCTACTTTTAAAACTGAATAATTTAATTATAAAGACTTCATTGCCTACTTGAAATGTCTGCTGAAGGTGTAGTTTTGAAAAAATAAAACAATTTGGCTTGCGTACTTGAACACAGAAAACCTATTTACCCTACTTGGAATCCTTTTCATAATTGTAGACAGGAGGTTATCAAAGCTCTGTCTGTTAGCTTCTTATTATGTCTGATTTCGTTAGTAAAGTGTCTCATTTTCTAACAAATCTTACACTCATAATCTTTGTCTTCGGATACTATTGAATAAAGAACAACTACAGAGCCACTCTATCCATAAGACAAGTATTGCTGTTATATATTAGGCAGGAGGAAAAATGAATAACCGTATGTGTTTTAAAGTCAAGACTTGATATTTCAACGAATATAACATCGAAAGGTTAAGGTGTAGTTTTAAACCAGATTATCGTATTTTTTTAATATTATTCTAAAACTGAAGGTTTACTCAGTCTAGTTATTAACTTTTGCCTATTGACACGATTAACTGAATCTGACATATCGTAGCATGTTCACATGAGTTTTGTCTCCTTTTTTTAGTAGATTAATATACTGGCTAAAGTGGAATTTATGTATACATTGAAATTCAGTTTAAAGTAAATAGGTGACAAGACTTTTTTATTTAATTGTAAGACTGGTATTTCAACTATTGCGGTGTAATAGTTAACTAACTTTTGTAGCAAGAACTTATCGTATTCCACTCTCTATGGTCTAGTCACGCAAATCCAAATAAATTGTAATGCCTGGCAGGGATTCGAATCCATACGTGTAATGCAGAAACAAAATGAAAATATTTCGGTTGAAATGGTAAACCAAGCATGAGGAGAGTAGTCTGGAAGAAAGATAATAGAAAAGAGGAGAAAATGCTGAATGATGACGAGATATTAGCTAGAGGAAAAAATTAAAAAATGACTAGGTCAGTATCAAAAGTCTTGGCCTATAGCACTTGGGTTTTACGGCACAAGTCATGGAGAGGTCAAACAACGGTTTTTACGTTTTTAGGAGATTAAGAGAGACAGTTGATGACTTGATAGGCTGGAACCACCCTTATTTTGTCAGCCCTATGCTTCATTCTAACCCCTTTTCTATCACATATCACCCGTGAGGAATGCAGGTAGGAGTATCTCGGCCAAAGAGGGTTTAATCCGTGTAGATATGTCTGATTTTTTGTCCATGACCTAAATTAATCTATAAGATGTATACCCAAAGTATCCTCATGAATAATCACCCAGTATTTCCAGTCTAAACAGTGTTAAGTCACAATTTTATGAAAGTTTAATTGATAATTTAATATTGTTTATAGTAAGACTCTTTTGCTGGCCATTTTGTTCTATCCTCGGACAATTAAGAAATGTTTTAAACAACTGACATAGTATTCGTCTTAGCAACTGACCGCTAAGTATATTTTCATTGTTTTTGTGTCAATGATCAGAAGAAAATGTTATATAAAGAGGTATAAATGTTTAGTAAGACTTGATTATTATATCTAGTATCGGTAAAATTACTGGCAGATTAGTATTCAAATGGTAAATTTTTTAAAAAGGTTATCAATTTCCTTGGTGTTGTATACTTGCATCTTCTCCTTGTTATTAAGACTGCAAATAATCAGTCTCTTGTAGGCATATGTGCATCCTATGCGAACTGCCTCGATATTGTCTGAAGTGAAAAGCTAGCAGTGGAATGTACGACTCAGTAGCTAAGTCGATAATGCGGTTGAGTTTGAAGTAAAAGGTAGTGAATTCGAGTCCCAGAATGAACATCAACTCTGAGATGCAGGTACATCCATCTGACAAGTCCCAAATAGGATGAAACGCGCATCCTGGATTTCACTGCTAGCCACTATCCATCTTTGGTTATCAATTTTCATTTACATGTTTTACCGTTTAATTATATCCAGTAATTAGTTGAACGATAAAAATACTGATAACTATATATTACTCATATGAAAGTAAAATATATATGTTTAGGCATGAGTTTCTCAATGATGTTAGTTTACAAATATTTCTTGTTAAAATGCATTAGAGACCTGAGAAAAAATTCTGTTTCCTCTATAAAATAAAATTTATATTAATCATCTAGCACTCATTCATATATCAATTTCAAATCATTCTATTTCGATAATGCATGGAAAATCGTAAAACCTTGAATAAGTTCTTAACTTTAATAAATTTGGTCATACGATCATTCAGATCTATACAATTAATGATGTTTATATACATACATATACTTCAGAACTCCGCCTGTATCCCCTCCGTGAGCTAATGCCGGTCCCAAGCTCGGATAAAGAAGGTGGGTTGGGCATGGGGTTAGCGACCCCATCCCGTAGAAAACTATCTCGTTAAAAACACGCTAACGAGAAAAGATAGTTCAAACCATTTAATATACTTCAGAACTTAAATAAACTACAATCAGTTTAATTAATTTACAGATACTGTCTATTGTAAAATATAACAAATACTTGTAAGCATAGATGGATAGTGGGTAGCAGTGGAATGCAGGACAAGGCGCTTTTCGTCCTATTTGGGACGCGTCAGCTGGATTTACATGCATCTCAGAGTTGATGTTCACTCTGGGACTCGAACCCAGTACCATTCGCTTGAAACGCCATCGCATTATCCACTTGGCTACTGAATCTTGATAGCCACTGTCTTGTGCAATGGGTTGAAGTTTAAGTTCACTTAGTGTTACTTGTTTGAATCTTCCCATCGATGCGTTAGGACTGCAACTAGTCAGTCTCTAATTGGCATATGTGCATACAGTGAACTGACCAGTTGCAATCCTAAACATCAATGGAAAGATTCAAACAAGTAATACTAAGTGAACATAACAAATACTTGTTTATTACCATGATTCAAACATTCTTTCATCTTTTCTAAATCTGAAATTTTTATGAAAGAGTTACCATGACCTCAGTAAATTGAAAATACCCTTAATAATTTAACTTTCTCTTGCTAAAGGATATTCATTCTGGTCGAAATATGATTCAATTGTGTTCAATGAGAGTTATCGATTCAAAGAATCATTTAATAATTTTCGAAATCAAATCTATTCAGATTCATGTATTGATGATAATTTGAATAAATGGAAATGTTGTGAACAATCTAATCATCCTAGTTGTTCCAAATTACCAACAAAAACAAAAGTTATTGAGTCTATGCTAAGTAATCCACAAGTTGATATTAGTTCAGTATTTGCTTATTTATGGTGTACAAAAGTGAGTTCCATTGAGATTTGTTTCCTCTTAGGCTTTAATTAAATAAATTTTTGAATTTGCAACAGACAAACGTTTTATAAGCTAGAAAATATTGGTTACTATCTGTATAATCGCTGGCTATTTGAAAATATAACCCAGTTTACTACTTAAATATGGTCTGTTATCTATGATTCTATGAAAAGAAAGAAATAAAACGAACTTCTGGATGAGCTTTTAATCTCTAAACCACTGAGATGGGATTCTTATTTTTTTTTTATGGTTGGCGTTTTTTTAGCGAGTTAGTTTTTCTACGGGATGGGGTCGCTAACCTCATGCCCAACCCTCTTCCTTTACCCGGGCTTGAGACCGGCAGTAACTCTAGAAGGGCTACAGACAGAGTTGAGATGGGATTCACTGATCTATATATCTAACTTCAACCAATTAGCGATCCAAGACGATAATCTTCACAATCCACTCAAATAAGGACTGAGAAAATATATATCAGTGAAACAATCATGAAAACAATCGTAGTAATTAATTATTTTACCTAAGAAACAATCGAATATAAGGCATATTGCAATGTTCACTGCAAACTGTCTAATTAGTTCATGCCAAAAAAGTATGCTAATCAATGTCCTTAATATGTCATTTCGATATAGATGTCTCATTTTGTAGTTAGGTAACAAAACAGCAGCTCAAGGAAAGAAATAACACTAACCTTAACCCTAACAGTCACGGTTTTACTCTTGTGATTTGTTGCATGGTAAAAACCAACTACCAAGAATCGAAGTACCGAATGACTTGATGAAAGCTTTTTGTAGGGCAGAATAGTTATCTAATGACACAAATCAACTAAATTTGGATAACCTCAATTTAAAGTAGAGTAAATGTCTAAGGTTCATAAACTATGAAGTAGGTTTCAGTCTCCTCATAATTTTATGGTTTTCCAACAGAAGAACTATTTTTTTGTAACCTAGTGACAGTTCAAAATTATCGATGACTGCACATATTAATCATTCATATGTGAAATCTGTATCAATGAAATACCAAGTCATATATTGTTGTCTTCATATTTTAGTTTTGAGATGTATATACAGTATTGAACTGAACTCGATAAATATTGCAATTGTGAGACTATTCATTATGATGTGATTTGTTCTGCAGGCATACTATCATGTTTCATGAACTACTGATGAATAGTTTGAACTAAGTAAACGATAGTTAAGAGCAAACTCTCCTAATTTTTAAAGTTCCAGCTAACCGCTTAAACAAAAACAACAATATATACATGTATTATAACAATGATTACAACTTCCTTACTTACGCCTGTTACTCTCAATGGAGCATAGGCCACCAACCAACATTCTCCAACCCATTCTGTCCTGGTCCTTCCTTTCTAGTTCTATCCAGTTTTTGTTCATTCTTCTCATACCCGTCTCTATTTCTCGGCGTAATGTGTTCTTTGGTCTTCCTCTTCTCTTTTGGCCTTCAGGACTCCATGTAAGGACTTGTCTTGTGACGCAGTTGAGACAATGATTACAAGGTAGCTAATACATCTATTCGTCTCATGAATAAATCATTATTTGTAAACAACTATAGTTTAAAATGTATATTTGCAGTTCCAGATGACTAACGAGCTAAAATACCTTTCATTAGGAGAATAAGGGTGATGAAATCAGCAAAATGTAAGGCAGTATATGAAAACGAATATCAGGATGAAATAATGAAGTATAGAAAATACATTAACCATTTCTTCTCCATATTTTTAAGCTCATTTCACTGACCACTGAAGAATATTAGACCTCCTAAGAACAAGAAGTTGCTAAACTTACTGCCAAATAGCCAGAAACGTACTTACTTGCTTACTTACGCCTGTTACCCCTCGTCGAGGAGCATAGGCCGCTCACCAGCATTCTCCATCCAACTCTGTCCTGAGCCTTCCTTTCCAGTTCATTCCAGTTTACATTCATCCTTTTCATATCTGCTTCTATTTCCCAACGTAATGTGTTCCTTAGCCTTTCTCTTTTACGCTTCCCTTCCGGATTCCAAGTTAGGGATTGCCTTGTGATGCACATTGGTGATTTCCTTAATGTATGTCCGATCCACTTCCAACGTCTTTTCCTAATTTCATCTTCAGCTGGAAGCTGGTTTGTCCTCTTCCATAAAACGCTGTTGCTGATAGTATCCGGCCAAGCTAGAAACATGAATAGTTTCAAATGACTAAATAATTAGATAGTCCACATCACTTGTATTTACACTATGATTGTTACTATGATTCTTCTTACAGGTATGGGCAAATTTTCATAACTTTAATGTTACCCAACAAGAAGATTTTCTCGAAGATATAGAAACAGGTTGTCCAAATCCATGTTTTGGAAATCCATGTAAAAGTACTCAAGGTGTGAAGAATCATATTTGCCAAGTTACAGGAGCTTTTGAGGTATGAATGAATTATTTATGTTTTACTGTGGAAAAAATGTGATAAAAAGAACAATTTCAGCTTTCTATTTTACTATGAAATATTGGATTTTCAGCAAATGTAGGAGTGATTATAGACATTCTGGTGAAAGTATTGGCGATCATGTTGTTGGAAGAACAACTAAAGTCAGTTAAATAAGCAAAACCTTCAATATTCTCTTTAACAACGTAATAGGAAACTCTTCAATGATTCAAACTTCCATCATCCAGTGCTGCATTTGAACTCCTAAAGAACTGAGTTGTCCGTCCTAACTAGTTATTAGGCAACGTTAGCCAGTTTCACTTTATTCAATTTTAATAGTAACTCAGATCGTGGGTGCACACTTCTGATGAGTCCCATACTGGAATGAAATGTCCGTCCAGTGCTTTCAGGTTTCCAATGTTGGCCCAGCTTAAAAAGACTGATGAATTCAACTATTAAAATCATAAAAGGTTGATAATTTTTACCAGTAAAACTTAATTAATATTTTTATATATACTTGAAATCATGAGTCAATTGAATCTAGATCACCATGGAAAACCTGAAAGCACTGGACGGCTGTTTCGTCCTATTATGGGACTCCTCAGCAATGCGTATCCACGATATCTTCTCACGAGATTCGAACCCAGGACCTACCAGTCTCGCGCCAGAGCGCTTAACCACTAGATTACTGAGCCGTCTGGCATCCAACGGTGTTAATGTCTAACTTCAACCAATCAACAAAGTTGAGCAACCATTGTACCAATGTCTTCAGTGAGTTGATATCTCCCAACAGACCTGGTTGAACTCCACTGGTTACTGCCGTCCAGTGCTTCCAGGTTTTCGATGGTGGTCTAGCTTCAATTGACTGATGATTTCAAGTATATATAAAAAATTACTTAAAATCTCCACAGAAAACCCCCTTATTTATTATTTGTATGTAAACATATAAATGAAGCTGGTAAGAATAATTTATAAGGCAAGATAAAATTCAGTCGATGTAAACTTACCTGTAAATGTAAATCTGATCTTATTTTAGTATCATAGCAGTGATATGATGTACTTTAATCAGACAATCAGGATTTCACCTTATTACTCAATCTGTTGTATAGAGCAGAAATATGTTTAATTAGTAATCTGAAATATTCTCCATAAGTCAAATAGAATTATTGAATGATATTTAACTGAATATCATTCTGAATATCCATCTTTGTTTACAATGCTTGTGAAATAAGGCTATATCGAGGCAATACGTACAGTATGCATATATGCCAATTAGAGACTGACCAGTTGCAGTCCTAACACATCGATGGGAAGATTCAAACAAACAATACTGAATGAATTTAAACTTCACCCCATTGCACAAGCAAGGAGATATCAGGACTCAGTAGCTGAAGAAAAAGGTACTGGGTTTGAGTCCCAGAGTGAACATCAACAACTATGAGATGCAGGTGTACATCCAGTTGACGAGTCCCAAGTAGGATGAAACGCGCGTCCTACTGGATTCCACTGCTAATCACTATCTATCTTTGCTTACAATGAATGATTGTGATTTTATAGAAACCGTTAATAAAGATATATACCAACTGGCAATGCTTTCTTATATTATCATTTCATTTATGACTTTTAAAGAATGAATATCAATGTCATTGTAAAGAAGAAATGATATGGGATAAAAATTTAAGGATTTGTCTTCCAATAAATCCATGTGATAGAAAAAGATTTCAAGTGTGTATACCTGAAAATACTCTTCAATGTATTGCTTATAATACTACTGAATATGAATGTATTTGTAAAACGGAATATATGGGAATTGATTGTTCATTACCACGTGATGCATGTTATGAACGAGTAGATAAAGTATGTTGAATAGTGTAGTTGTATGTCTTTTTTATGACTATTGTTTATCTAAACAGTATTTTATTGGTAATTTACCTCAATGAAGTGAGACATTAGTGTATTTCTCTTTAGATTACTGGCTTACATCAACGATGTTGTTTAATAACTTGTCTACTATGAAAACTATCTGTTGAATGAACTATTAGAAGGATTGATTTAATATCTAACAGATCATTTCATACTTCAATAAAATTCACCTATTAAAACACCCCCAAATGCCCTGGTATGGCCGAGAGTGGGAAGAGTCCACTCTCCCTCTCGAAATGCTCTCACATAGCCACGCGTATACAAACACTTCCAGAGAAGTCCAACTCATTTTCTTCTCTTTGCATTACTGTTGTTTACAGAATTGAGAGGATGAAAAGAGAATATTCGGCGCTTTAACTGGGTTGATGGACACCGAAATTTCACCTACGAAAGTTAGAAAACCCTCATTTCAAACTAATGGTGCACATGAACTCTTGGATCCTCAGGGAACAAATGACGTATGAATCAATCCACTACCTTGTGGATCAGATCTTTAGGTCAATGTCTTCGGGTGTGGCCCCCTAAGGAAACCACCTGCTTCAGTTTGGGTACCTGGGCAGCATCACAGACTTCACACAGACCAAATGAGATTTGTGTGTCGCATATATAACTGATGCCCCTTTGTACTAATATTTATGTGTTCAAATAAATTAAAAAATATTAAAACGATCAAGGAAACTTGAAATATGAAATTACCTTTATTCATATTTATCTGTCGTTTACTGTAGGACTCGAACCCAGTACCTTTATCTGTCGCTTAATTACCACAAACGATCATAACATGGAATCACGAGAATATAGTATTCTATAAAATAAAAGACATGTTTAATCTGACATTATGCACGTAACTTAACAGTAGTTCCTTCTTCCTTTTAAGGCTTAACAGTATCTAAATGATAAATAAATGAAGTGAAACTAGTATATATTACCACAAGCAAATGAACCGACATTTCAATGATTACCTTTCTTTAAACCTTTTACTGGATATCCTTAACTCTAATAGACAACAAATAATGATCTTTTAAAGTAACCACTTTTAATCTATGAAATATCAAATTGAGATCCAGTTGACGAATCAAAATCATTGTAGCAAATCTTGTTCTTAATCTTTGAAGGTGGACTTCTTTAAAGAGGCCTCTCTTTAAATTATTTTCTGCACTCATATCTACGTGAATTTACAAATTTTCATAGTTGAAATCATGTGTCAATTGAAGCTAGACCATCATGGAAAGCTTGGAAGCACTGGACGACCGTTTCGTCCTATTATGGGTCTCCTCAGCAGTTCGCATCTAGCTTCAATTGACTCATGATTTGAACTATGAAAATACTAAATTCTCCACAAAACCCCTTCTGAATTCACAGATTAGCACATTTGATAACACATTCTGAATAATACCTGCAGTAACATTTACTACCTCTCTATCTGAGAAGCATATCAGTAGGATTTCAACCAGCAATCCTCAGAAGACGATTTCGTTAGGCATTGAAACCTATGAAAATATGATAAAAATTCATGAAGATATGGTTCCCCTTTTCATAAGAAGAAAAATATCATAACAATTCTATTTTAGTAACTATATTTCAAACACAATCAAAAAACGTGATGATCTGCAATAAATTGTATTTACCAAAATATCCATTAGTTGCTACCCTTACAACAATTATGAATCCTTCATTGAACACCTATGAATCAATAGATTACATTTTGATTTTTTTGTATTCGTAATGTAATCGGATATATTTACTTCTTGTCATGGTCATACTGTTTATTTCATCATCATATGAACAGCATTATTTCATGGTACGGCAGAGAGTGGGGAGAGTCAGCTCTCCTTCTCAAAATAATCTCACATGACCACTTGTATACAGACACTATCAGGGAAGTCCTACTCACTGCCTTTTCACAGCATTACTGTTGTTTACAAAATTGAGAGGATGAAAAGCGAATGTTTAGCGCCTTAACCGGGTTAGTGAATATGGAGGAAGTTGTAAAATCCTGATTCCAAACCAATGATGGGCTCCAATGGGCTCCAGGATCCTGAGGGAACAAATAGCGTATGAATCAATTGTTGGTCACCGACTACCATGGGACTGCATCTCCTCACGTTACTCCACTGCCTTGTGGATCAGACCTTTAGTACAAAAGCAGAGAGTGTAGCCTCCTAAGAAAAACACCTGTTTCCGTTTGGGCTTCCAAGCAGTGTCCCAGCCCGTACATAAATCGAATGATTTATGTGGCGCATATGCATTTGGTGTCTCCTTGTATCAATGTTTATATGTTTAAATCAATAAACTGATTAACTATTAAATACGACATACATCTTTTTTCGATTTCTTATGTTATTTTAGTTTCAATCTAATGGAAATGTTAACTGTCAAATTCATTTAGGAAATATATGTCAACCTATTTTAGGTACAGATTATTATCAATGTATATGTTTAGAAATTTATCAACCTTTGATGTATACTTCTGAACCTAATTGTTTTGGAAGAATTAATCCTTGTCATACAATACACATAAATGATGTGCTAACAGACTCAGATGAAAGCCAAAATATTCACCCTACTGCCGTTATACATTGGGGTTTAACTTGCCTTAATGGTGGTCAGTGTGTTGTTTCAGAAGATTTCACACATGCTGCATGTGTTTGTCCCACTGCTCCAGACGGTTCATTATTATATACTGGTTAGTTAGTTAGTTCAAAAGTGTTCTGTGTACATTTAATGTTCGTCAGTTTATAAGTTTTAATGTAGAAAATATTTAACAGTGGATAGTCCTAGATTCAGAGTGAAATTAGTCATTAAAGTACTGAACTCTCGATTCCTTTTTTCACACTATTAACCACATTAGTCAGTGTTCTAATTGTTGATAAATAATTTGACTAACACTAAGAGCTAAACAAAACTATCGGTTAAGGGCTCTGGCTCGAGACTGGTAGGTTCTGGGTTCAAATCTCGCGAGTGCGGGATCATGGATACACCCTGCCACTGAGGAGTTCCATAATAGGGCGAAACGACCGTCCAGTGCTTCCAGGTTTTCGATGATGGTCTAGCTTCAATTGACTCATGATTTCAACAGTGAAAACAGAAATTGTTACTAATGCATATTCATTTTACATAAGTTGTTTGGTATCAAAACAACATGAGATCCTAAAGTGAGTATCTGATCAATGCACGTTCAGATGTTCAAATCTCTGTTGCAACAGTGGAATCGGAAAATCCTTCCTCCTCGCTCTAAAAGAATTAAACTAATGGTTTTATCCCTGCTACCTCTAATTCTTGAATAATCTTTTTGTTGGATAATTCAAAAGCAATACTACTATGAAACAAAAGAATAGGCATGAGGAATGTACATTTACTGTGAGAAGTTACAAAGTATTCACATCATATAAATACATAGCCTTCAATCCTCCATTTTTATCTCTTTATGTTTTCTGCCATCTGAACTGTCTTCTTGTCTAGTCTCCAAGTGTTCGGCAAACTCAGTGTTCTTGATGCTCTGAAGCTCTTAACTTATTTAGTTACCAATCAAGCATATGCTAGCTGAGTTTGGGAAAATGTCAAAAACCACAGAGAATTGAACACCTTTCTCACTGTAGTTTGAAAATTTTCACAAAGATTAGCGAAAATATAAACCGATCAGAAGAATAATTTCGAATTATTGTCATGAAGTTTTTTTATCAGTTTGTAAATTTTCAGAGATAAAAAGACTCGGGTTATCACAGTGTGTAGGTTTCTTGCGTAACAACCAACAATCTGTAGTGACCTGCTTTTTTCTACAAGAACGCGACTGATATAATAGAAACAATTATTAATATAACCATTTGTATCAGTGTTTGTTTTACTGTACTTGTCGTTGTTTAACTGTATCAAAGTCACTTCTCGTTCCGCTATCCATCTTGTTGGTTCGAATTTTATTACGCTCTGCTCTTATTGCCTGTAATCTTTGATACGTCTCGGTATTCATTCGACATCACGAGATTTCCAATAAATATACTCTATCTGGACCAGTTATAGCCTTCTGGTTTGCGAGTTATCAAAGGGACCAAGTCGTTCTTAGGCGCGTAATCTCACTCTAGTGGAGATCATAGTCAAACGCGACTTGACGCCATCTACAAATCTAACCGGTTGAATAAAATGATATCAAAAATCAAGCCGTTACGAATCGCAGTTTTAAATCCACTTCTTTTTAAACCTTTCGTCTTTGAAGAACTAACTTTGATGTCAGAAGTTTTTTTTATAGAAAAATGTTTGTCCATGATTTGAAAAATTCCCATATTGTTCGCCTATATATGTTGTTCATAATTTGTTGGTTCAACTGAACATTCTGAATAATCAGAAGGGGTTAAGTGCTCTGGTGCGAGACTAGTAGGTTCTGGGTTCGAATCTCGTGAGGTGGGATCGTGGATACGCACTGCTGAGGAGTCCTATAATAAGACGAAACGGACGTTCAGTACTTTAAGGTTTTTCGTGGTGGTCTAGCTTCATTTGATTCATGATTTCAACTATGAAAATATTCTGGATAGTTCTATGTTTTAACTAAATCTGTCCAGAGATATTTCTGACGAATTAGACTTCACACTGTTGACTGAGCTATTTGTTATTCAAACAACAGTAATCTAAACGGCGAAACGGTTTCCTATTTGTGCTTGATTATTGATAAAAATAAGTAATATAGTGAATTTTGTCTTTATATGACTCAGCATGAGATTTGATTAAAAGTTCACCCAACATGTTACAATTTTAAGGATTGAACTGTGAGTATTCAGTTGGAGTTTGGTCATCTTGGACACAGCCTTCACCATGCTATCCAGAAGATTGCGGTTTGTCACGTTATCGTTGGAGGAGGAGAAAATGTTTGAACACTACCATGGTTGATAATGTGATTTACCATCCTTCATATTCGTTAGCTAACTTAAATGGAACTGATACCTTAAAAAGAACAATGCCGCTTCCTTGTCCAGGAGCTTCAGAAGAAGTAAGTTATCCATTAGTTGGACCACAAGTATTTACAAATACATATTACCTGTTTACCTATGCCTGTAACCCCACACAAAGGGGGCATAGGCCGCCTACAAGCATTCTCCATAGAACTCTGTTCCGAGCACTTCTTTCCAGTAGTTTTCAGTTTTTATTCATCCTTTTGATGTCTGCTGTCAATTCCCAACCTAGTGTGTTCTTTGGCCTTTCTTTTTCCTGTTTAGCTTCAGGATCCTAAGTTAGCTCTTCCCTTATAGTGCTGTTTGATGACATATATATTCAATAGTAAATATGCTAAAACCTCTTGACTCTGTTTTCTATTATTTTATAAAGACAAAGAGGAGAGATGAACTTAACAACAATTATTGAGAAAAAACTCAATTGTATTTATCCAGGAGCGTTCACGGTCATTTCTGTTGAAATTTTTCGTATTTGTTAGTAATTAAAAGTTTGATAATTCATCAGACTATTACTGTATTCACGAACTCTAGTGAAAAACTATGATCAGTGGGTTTCAATTATGTTGAATATGAAGCATTCACCCACCAGTGGCAATAGAAGGTAGGGTTGTACTAATGGGTATTCATTAAAACTAGGCGCCGAAGTTTTTGAATACCGTCTCACTGGTCAAAAAATTAGGCGCTCTCCATGAAACTTAAAGAATCCGGATTCGTTTTTGAGTGCAGTCGAGGATGTAAACTTCTGGGGAGTTTCATACTTGAACTGAAAACATGCTTAAAACTTCCTGGTTTTTCAATTCTTTTCCAACAAATTCATTTTTTTGTGCTAAAATGTAAGATTTTTACCTCACTGGTAAGCTGCATGGAAATGAATTCCTCCAAGCTCGAGAGAGTAAACTTTGACCTATGGAGTGTAACAAGTTGGAAGCTTAAATGGTAACTTATTATTGAAGATCATGGAGTATCTCAAGTGATTTGAAGCTCCAAAAATCAGTCATTGCCCGATTAGACTGAAAGTCCTTAGTCCTATCTTGCATGAGATCGTAGATGTATGTTACGGAATAATTTCGAACTAGTGAGATAAATATATTCACTTTTGTGGAACTTTCAAAAAATTCACTGACTTGTAAATAACAATGACCGACATATAAATTATGTTTCCGAATTGCTTCTACAACTGTGTATATTTATGTATATACATAAACTAAAACCTGGAGATATAAAGAAAGATCGATATTTGCTAGCAGTGGAATCCAGGACGCACATTTCGTCCTATTTGGGACTCGTCAGCTGGATGTACTTGCATCCCAGAGTTGATATTCTTTCCGGGACTCGAAACCAGTACCGTTCGCTTCAAACGCCTTTTTGAATCCTGGATTTCGCTGCTAGTCATTATACATCTTTACTGAAAAAGCTTTTGACTTGAGACAATATCGAGGCAATCCACAGGATGCACACATGCCAACAAGAGACTGTTCAATTACAGTCCTAAGCCACAATCGGGAGATTCAGGTGAACAATAACAAGTGAACTTGAGATATAAAGTATAAAGTAAGTTTATTGTCGTTTTATATTTCAAAGAAACAATAAGGGTTTTTTATTTGAGGTTACATTTAACAATACTTTCAATCTTCTTTGTATCTTTATTATCTCATTTTATTTTATCTTTATTTATAATAGATTTTGCCATGCCCATCGCTAGAACCATGTTTTAAATCACCTTCCTCAGGTTTTATGATGAATGGAGTTTTCAATTATGAAACACTATATTATTTTACATATACTACAACTTTTATCGTAAGTTTGTTCGCCAAAATGTTTACACATATGAAGTCAAATGATAGGTCCTGGGTTCGAACCTTGTGAAGCGGAATCGTGAATGCGCACTGCTGAAGAGTCCCACAATAAAACGAAACGGCCGCTCAATGCTTCCAGGTTTTCCATGGTGGTCTAGATTTGACTGACCAATGATTTCAACTATAAAATCACTAATAAACCATTTAGTTACAACTAATATCTCATTAATGTGACCTAAAACTTTTATATCATTCTGTAATCGAGAAAAAGTGATTTTTTTTCTGCATAAATTATGTAATAAATAAGTAATGGCTTATACTGATTATATAATAACTGTAATAATCGGTAAAAAGATATATTCTACCTGACATCTATTGGAATTCAGGGTGAGTTCCCTTCAGAGTATTAAAGAGTTAAGTAATTTTATATAGTTGAGATCATGAGTCGATTGAAGCTAGACCACCATGGAAAACCTGGAAGCACTGGACAGCCATTTCGTCCTATTATGGAACTCCTCAGTGGCAGTGTGCATTCACGATTCTGCCTCACAAGGTTCGAACCCAGAACCAACCGGTCTCGCACCAGAGCACTTAACCGACAGTAATTGCTTGTTTTTTAATTTCTGCAATAAAATGACCACTTAGCTAAACTTTATTATCATTTCGCATATCATGTAATTTATCTCCTGTCCGACGTGTGTTGTAGTTCTATAGCCCTTCATTGGTTATTGGAAAATCCAGCCATTCAGTTGATTGTAAATGTAATTGTACTACGTATATATTGTTCATTATGTCTCCTTGAAGCAAATTTGTATGATTATGTTATTGTTTAAAATGTTAGTATTGTGGAAGTTGTAATCTTAGGTCTCTATTTGTGGCTAGTGGAAAAAGTTTTAATTTTAATTTTATTCAAAACACACTTCAAGATAAAGCAACAAGCAAGTATATATCTCTTTCTTGCTCATTGTGTTAAGAAATGCACTAATAGGGAAGTTTATGGGGACAAGCATAATTGAAGTAATGCGGTTTTATGGATGATTTTGCATTGATTCCATGTAGGAATCTTGAGAGAAAGTGTTCTAAACTAAGAAAATCAACCTGATCAGTGTTCTGTAATTTCTAATAACTATTCAGTCTATGTCGGTCTGTGATCCAAATGGTTTTCCAAATATACTTAGTTTCAACAACTTATATACATAGTTATGTAGATGGCGTCGAATCCCGTTTGGCTATGATCTCCACAAGAGTGAGATTACGCGCCTAAGAACGACTTGGTCCCTTTGATAACTCGCAAACCAGAAGGCTATAACTGGTCCAGATAGAGTATATTTATTGGAAATCTCGTAGTATCGAATGAATACCGAGACGTATCAAAGATTACAGGCAATAAGAGCAGAGCGTAATAAAATTCGAACCAACAAGATGGATAGCGGAACGAGAAGTGACTTTGATACAGTTAAACAACAAGAAGTACATTAAAACAAACACTGATACAAATGGTTATAATAATAATTATTTCTATTATTTCAACCGTGTTTTCGTCGAGAAAAGTTGATCACTACGGTTACCTAGAAATATGACGCATAATAAAATCACCATATATTAGTGAAATGAAAATTTCTAACATTTCGTGACTTAGTACGGTTCACTTCTTCAAAGCAATTAAACAAATAATCAATTTAATGTAATACAATTTTAATTACCTAGAGGAACAGACCTGTCCATAATATATGACTAACTTTCAACAGAATACTCAATTTATAAGCAAAGATGGATGGTGGTCAGCAGTGACAGGTGGCTATCAGGACTCAGTAGTCAAGTGGTCAACGCCGTTTGAGCCAAATGGTACTGGGTTCAAGTCCCAGAGTGAACATCAACTCTGAGATGCATTTTCATTCCAGCTGACGAGTCCCAAATAAGAAGAAACGCGCTTTCTGATTTCAACTGCTAGCCACTATCCATCTTTGCTTATGAAGCTTATGACAATATTGAGGCAGTTCGCACAGGATGCACATATACCAATTGCAGTCCTAATAACAATGAGAAGATACAAGTCAACAACACCAAGAGAATACTAAGTTTGTTTGAAATTTTGAAGTCTGACCTTAGTACTGATACTTAAGAATATAATTTATGTTTTAATGATAATGTTCAAAGTAACCAATTGTGTCCAGTAGCATACGGTTCCCATCTTTATGATTACTATCAATGTAAACCTTTATAAACTGAAAAGTTGTGAACTATTATCATAATGAAAAAAATATTTTATCTAGATCAGAGAAGTTTATTAGCGGCCTATGCCCCATTGGGAGTAACAGGCGTAAGTAAGTAAGTAGTAATTAAGTAAGTAGTAAGTAATTAAGTAGTAAGTAAGTGAGTGAGTAAGTAAGTAAGTATGAGAAGTCTATTTAGCCGGAAATTGTAATAAAATGTATTTATCATAAAACAATACTAAATTTAAATATTGTTACTATACATTTCTTTACCATAACAGGTAATATTTAGTTGTTTAATATGGTATGTTTTCAATCCACCAAGTAACAGATAATTAAAAAGAAAAAAAATTCCTAATGGTCTATGCTATATTATCGAAAAACCATTTGAGTTATGATATTACATTGAGAAAGACAGTAAGAATATTACTTCCTCAATACATTTGATGCTGTTGTTGTTGTTTATTTCAATTTTAGATGAACACTATATATTTAAAAAGAAAACACTACTTATTTCATTTAAAGGATAGAAGGATCATTTGTGCAATCGTTTACCCTTAAACTACGGTTGTCTGTGCTATCTGTGCTTGTAATCCTTTAAAATTACAACCTAGTAACTCGCATTTTATGTAAAAGGATTAATGTGATGATTCCTACCATTTTAGAAAATCTGATGTATTTAAACAACCATTTGCTTTCTAGATCTATTGACTAGTCTCTGGTTATTTAACTATGACCTTGTTTTTATATTCATTGTGTTGGCCACAGATGTCTTAGAAATATTGATCGCATCTGCTGGGCTCACCGGGTAAGTAATAGTGAGGTTAGATACACAGGGTATTAGGGAATGATGGTAAATCAGTTGATAAGGTTGTGAATCTTCATCGACTGAGATGGTAGGGCCGTGTGTTACGTATACCTGAACATCGATTACCACGACGCGTTATGCTGACTAGTATTGGAGATGATTGGAAGAGAGTTAGGGGCGGCCAAACCAAAACGTGGCATCAGGGCATGAAGTCACTAACTTCCAGTCTGAGCCATGTTGGTAGATGCAGATTACTTGGTTGGAGTCCGCGTGACTATCGTAACCAATGGTTGGAGACTCTGGGGGGCATGACTCAGAATCGATCACAATGGCGTAGGTGTATACACTCCCTGTCTTCCCTTAAACCTTGAGATTAAAATTGCTTCATATCTTTCTTCCTGTATTATATTCTTATATAGAACCTTTCTTTTATATATTACCACCACTAAACTAACTACTTCTATGAACTCGGTGTTGATCTTGTTGTGCTAATGAGTGAGGTATGGCAACTTGGACCGATGTATGTGCCTGGTCCTACGTTGTAGCTTACTGACTGGCTGATTTCTTTACTGTTGCAGAAATGGAATGTCTAATATCCTAGTTTCCAGCTAGTTTAAATTTTGTTCGTTTCACTTAAATCCATAAGGAACAGAATATCTGTAAAGTGATTCCTGTTTATTTGTAACAGTTATCTTGGTGGCCATGATAAATATCTGAAAAAATATTCCTTTTTTATGTATAAAGTAAGTTGATATTACAACGATGAGCTAATGAAACCGTTATCAGCGTTTAAATAGATGGTGATTTATTTGACTACAGAAATGAAATTGGAAGGATAGTGGCTGAACGGTGGGGGAAAAATTATTATAACTAAAACGACTAAGAGAACACCAAGATAATAAGTGAAACGAAAGAAGTGATAGATAAGAGGATGAAGATTTAATTTTACTTACTTAATCTACTTATGCCTGTTATTTCCAATGGAGAATAGGCCGCCGACCAGCATTCTCCAACCAACTCTGTCCTGAGCATTCCTTTCTATTTCTATCCGATTCTTGCTCACAGTTCTCACGCCTGTCTCTATTTCTCGGCGTGATATGTTCTTTGTTCTTCTTATTACCCTTTGGCCATGAGGATTCCATATGAAGGCTTGTCTTTTGATGCAGTTGGGTGCTTTCCTCAATGTGTGCCAAATCCACTTCCAGCAATTCTTTCTGATTTATTTCTCTGCTGGAATCTGGTTTGTTGTCTCCCACAGTAGAATGTTGATGACAGTTTCTGTCCAACGGATCCAAAGTATTTTTCTTAAACAACTGTTAATAAACACTTGCATCTTCTGGATGATGGTTTTCTTAGTTCTCCACATTTCCGCCCCATACAGTAGAACTGTCTCGACATTCGTATTGAAAATTCTAACCTTGGTGTTGGTTGACAATTGTTTTGAGTTCCAGATGTTCTTTAATTGTAGATATGCTGCTCTTGCTTTGCCAATCAGCGCCTTCACATCTGCATCAAATTGACCTTGTTCATCAATGATGTTGTCCAGATATGTAAAGTATTCCACACCCTCCAAAGCTTATCCGTCAAGTGTAATTTGATTGGTGCATGTTGTATTGTATCAAAGAGTCTCGCTTTTCCCTTTGTTTATATGCTACATTGGTCGTCTTCTCCTGAATTTGTTGTTGATTTTGGGGATTTATTTACCGTTATAAGCTTATGATAATCAACATATTCTGGTGGTTTTTGTTTCTGTTCTTAGTGAATCTCTGACTGCACATTTCTCGAGGTTTTACGTGTATATAAATAACTAATGAGTTTTGAAGTTTCAAAGATCAACTTAAAACGAAACGCCCCAAAGCCAGAGCACAAACAGCATAGAATATTTCGTAGTAATCAATGACGCCAAGCCAGCCGAAAGGGTATGATATTGTAGATGTCGTCAAGTCGTGATTGATTATGGTCACCACTACGTGCCAGGTATCGACTTGGTTCCCTCGGTAGGCCAAAAATCAGAAGACTATTAATAGTTGTAATAAGATATATTTGTTGGCGATCTCGCGGTTCCGAAAGAATATCGAGATGTGTCAAAGCTTACGGGCAGAACTGGCGAGCGTAAGCAAGTTCGTGCAAGGTCACAGGCAGCGGTTTGTATAACCATTATTCTTTTCGCTCCAGGATATGCTAAGTTTTGATCCTGTTATTTAGAATTATCCTAATAATCACAAACTATGCCGATTTACAAATTCGAGTGGTTCACTTTATATTCAAGAACGATTAGTTTTGTTCACTGGTGCTTTTGCGACTTCATTTTTGGCTTCGGTAGTATCGAATCTTTTGTTTCATTTTCAGTCATTAACTCCCAACCTCATGAGTAAACCTGTCAACGTTTCTATTTCGAGCATCGCTGTTAATAAACTTCCCATTCTTGAGTGTGGTAGTTTGCCGATTAGAATTGATAAATCTGCAGTTCAATATTGTTCATGCCTCACAGTTGACTATGTTCCATCTAACCTGGGTCTAGAAAATTTAAAAATGCTTCAAGAACCGAATGCGTTACAGGGACCCGGGTGAGCCCATCCCAATTAACGGTTTTAATTCTAATAATACCAAGTAAGTTCTAAGTCGTACATGATTATAACCAATGCGCATCTGGGGAAGTAGTGAAAGAAAACTAAGTGTGGATAATCAATTAGTTATTCAATTCAAAATTAGAGTGCCTCTGTGAAACATGAAAACCATACGTTAGATACATTGTTTGCACATCTTCCTGCAGTTGTCCTTTACAGGCCGTCTTTTTGCAATTACTGTCTGTTTATATTCCTGTTTTCTTTAATCCAACCTTTTAACCTTCTAATGCCAGGCATTCCGCTTGTGATTGGGTTTCATACTACTTTTGTCTGTCAACATAAATGGCATATGACATACCCATTTATATAATGGGCCTAAGGAGAAGAAAAAAATCGATTACAGGAATCTTGTTTCCCATCCATACTATGAGCGTTATGGTGTTTGTACTGTCCGATAACCGGTTAATGCTGTTTGAGCGTTTATTGTAAATTCCAAGTATATTACGATAAGTTGCGCCCATCTAGTTCTGCCTCCCTTTTATTCTTCTACTTCGAGAGTTCTTAGTTGACACACTAGCTCCAATTCTTCAATTTTTTTATGACGTCAGCCCCCAGGATGATATCAACTAGTCAATTAGTGGTGCGAAATGATAGAGATAGAAGTCATATTAATCAGAGAAGTATGGCCGACGCATGGATATACTTTTGTAGCGATGTACAACATTAACTTGATTTGTTATTGTATAGACGGCGAAGCCAGGTTTTAGTGAAGTTGCTATTAAGTTCTAAAATTCACACCACAATACTTTTGCCCACTGAAGATATTCCACGTGCGTCGATCTACATAATGCACAAGCAGTTATCAGGGTTCTCTTTATAAAGGTATTGAAAATCCATATATTATATCTATGTGCGGGAAATTCAATCTGAAATTTAAGCCAAAGAATTAATTAGTTTTAGTAATTCTAACCGTTTGTCTGAATTTTATTAACAATACACTTCGAAATCAGATGTAACTAATGTCGTAAGTGTTGCGGATGCCAGTAAGTGATAAAACTGTCATATATTCCTATTATCTGACTTATACATGCCAAACATCATGATTCTTTCATTTTTCTGGGTCTTTGTGTATGAATACATCATATGTTTCTCAACATTTTAGAGAACGTTTTGTAAAGATGCAAGCATAAGTAGCCTGAAATAGAAACAAACACGTTTATACTACAAGTTCACCGCAGTTTATTCGCCTCGACGAATTTATCTCTCCACTCTTTGATGCTATCGCTAGTTCATTCAAATATACTAAGGTAGTCGGTCTTAAGTTACTGAACGTTCAAAACATACCTACAATATTATGAAGGGTACAGAAAATAGTAGCGTTGTATTGGTTCATGAAGCTTAACAGTAAGTAGATTGGAAGATGTATATAACACTTATTTTTTCACTTTCGTTAGGCTATGACGTCAGGAAAAGGCTCTCAGTAAATCGCCAGGCGGTTCGCCTAACCACGATGTGTCGTGAGTGAACACCGTCAACCCTGTTAAACAGATGCAAATTTTCATCATTTACTAAGACAAGATAGTACATATGAGATCCAAATAAAACAAAGTAGCATGTAGATTCAAGCCCGAATTCGGATGCTTTTAATTTAGTGTCACTTTGTTGGTCAACTCTTATTCGTTCACCGTTGTCTTCGGTGAAGTTTCAGCTGAGCAGTTTGGTTGTGGAGCTTCCAATGATCCTCTGAACAACATCCTCAACGAAAACTGCAGGCGGCATTGAAGTTTTTGAATTTCGTCATCAATATGATATAGTCGCTGTTGATCTTTAACCTTCCACAATCTACCCCTTTATTTAAGTTGTGCCTCATCTTGATCTACATTTATCTATGACTTTTTTGATTGCTTGATAGACTTCGATTCGTTTGCAAAGTGTTCACTGTCTTGAGTGTCAAGCTTTTCAAAAATCTCTCTTGTTTTTGATATTCCTTCTATCCAGGACCTTAAAATTGAGAAGTTGTATTCACGTAACAGTTCGACTAATATAGTACTGATCGACTGCTATGCCTGCAAAACCTGCATACGTTCGGTTTAAACATATGTAACCAATCATGATACATTACGTGTTATTCACTAACGACACTTATTTTCCATCGACAAAAAGTTGATTAGAACTATATAGGTTTG